GACAGTTTCTGTTACAAGAGAAGGGCCTCATCTACGAGCAGAAACACGAGGGATGGTACTCAGTCACCGACGAGTGCTTCTATCCGCAGTCAGGTGTGCAGCCATGGATTGAGCCATCTACGGGGAGAAAGATTATGGTACAGGCGGCTCGATACTCAGTCAGAACAGTGAGCTAACGGTGCTACAGACGTCCATCGAGACGGGCAGTGAAGTTGAATGGTCCTCCGAAGAGAACTACCACTTCCGCCTCTCTGCCTTCCGTGAGCCACTTCTCGAATTCTACAAGGCAAATCCGGAGTGGATAGCGCCAGAACATCGCATGAAGGAGGTTGTGCAGGCTGTGGAGTCCGGCCTTGAAGACCTGTCAATATCTCGTCCTTACGATCGACTCACCTGGGGTATTCGAGTTCCTGACGACGACTCGCAGACCATTTATGTCTGGCTCGACGCTCTCATGAACTACGCGACGAAGGCGGGTTATCCTTTCACGCCAGGCAAAGAACGAGACGGAGGCTGGCCTGCTGATTGCCACGTCATTGGAAAAGATATCGTTCGCTTTCATTGTATCTACTGGCCGGCATTTCTCATGGCACTTGGCCTCCCTCTTCCCAAAAAGATCCTGACACACGCCCATTGGACCCTTGGAGGCGCGAAGATGTCAAAGTCGACCGGACGGGTTGTGGATCCTTTCCACGCCTTGGATCGATACGGACCGGATGTTATGCGTTTTTACATGGCTCACGATGGTGGCATACAGGACGACTCGAGCTATGACAATGTCCACATTATTCGGCTGTACAACAAGTTCTTGAACCAGCAGCTAGGAAACCTTGCGTCTCGCGTCACCAGGGGTAAGAAGTGGAGCGTCCGCGGTGCAGTGGAACGCATTGGCAGTGCACCAACAGAGTACTGGTCCGAGGGACCTGGATCAAGCTTCTGGACCAATTCTCTGAGCACTGTCGCGTCCAAAGTCGATGGCTCGTTCGATGCTTACGATCCACGGAAGGCATTGTTCCATGTAACAGAGTTCGTACGAGGAGTAAGTGTCCACATCGTATAGCGAAGGTATCAGCTAACGTTGCTCAGGCAAATGCGTTCTTCCAAATGTCGAAACCATGGGACAACATTCTCGAGTTCACTCCGGGCGAGCCTGGAGAAGATGTTGACCGCACCATATATCTTGCCGCCGAGGCTTTACGTATGACTGGCATCTTGCTCCAGCCTTACATGCCAAACAAGGCAAAGAAACTGTTGGACCAGCTTGGTGTACAGGAAGACAAAAGAACCCTGGCCTATTGTCAGCCTGGCGCTGATCTTGATTATGGTACACCCATGATCACGCTAGGATCGAAGCACGAGGGTGTGCTTTTTCCTCCTCTGGCGAGTGAAGAGTAGGAGATGGGGCTGTTGTGTCACGATATTGTAGCATATGTACTTTAGGCCCTGCGGCGATATCGCAGATAGCTGCGATATCTGGATAAAAGAAATCAAACCTGCTTTGTCATCATTAACGCACTTTTCCTCGACAGCTATCGTATGGTGAGTCTGCGCACCATTGCGCACGGACCGATGTGTTCGCTTGAAGGGCAGGTGCAGCCGAGGTTCGCCAAAGGTGGGCTGTCTAGCCTTTTCTCGCCCTTACACTTTTACGCCCCAGCATCGCTCCGCACACTCTTTTGGTAACGGTCGGTATGGCTTTCAACTGGGACAAGCTTTCCAAGGCTCAACGCGACTACCCGAAGCCCAAGTTTGCGTTGTCTTACATTGATAAATTGCTGAAGAAAAATCCTGGAAACCCATATCTGACCGTAAGTCAATCCGAATGTCATGTGATACATTGGCTGATATCCAATAGACATGGAGAGCCGATGTCTCTCTGCAGTTGCAATCTCAGCCCGAAACAGTCGCCAAGTCATTGCGTGATGTCTGTCAGCATAAGACAACGCTTGGGGACGAACTATTGCTTGAATATGCGTATAGGCTCATTGTGGAGGCAACCCTGAGATCAAATCCCAAGCTTCAGCATATCAGTTCTGTAGGTAATGAGGGTGTCAAAGCATGGCAGAATGCGGCGGCCCTCAAGACTACCAAAAAAGGCCGCAAAGACTTGTGGGATGGTCTGTTCACGACAGCCATGCGCCAAGGATGCTGGGAAGACGTTCGCACTGTACGTTGATGTAAACACAGAGACTCCGCATGACACTATTAACAATTACAGGCGATCGTGAAATACAGGGCAGAAGGAGCATCATCCGACAAGTTGACTTACTACACACAGATCTTCGCACAGCAAATGTCGGCTGAGCAGAAGATCCGCGCAAGTCAAGCGACAGGTGTTGCCGACCGAATGGCCGAAATCCAGCTGGGTGTGGCATTGAAGCAGATGAAAGACGCTTACGAACGGTCTGAGGTAGGCATTTATCCATCGAACATATGGACTCTTCTGACAAACCCAGACCGATCCGATCAGCGTGAAGGACATCCGGGATTTACGGTTCATGGCCAAGATCTATGCGCGACAAGGAAAATGTGCTGAGCTTGTGGAACTCTGGAATGTACCACCTGCTCATTTGCAGCCTATCATGGAGAAGCAAGCACTCGACATCTCGTTACTGACAGTTGATTTATTTGCGAGCACCCAGCAATACGAACAGCTCGAAAAACACATTTTGGCGTTGGTTGAGGATGCTGTTGCAGCTATGAGCAAAGACGATCTGGAGCCTCTGCGACAGCTCTGTTCAGCGAGGGTGAATGTTTGGACTCACCTCATCGATGCTTCCACGAAGTTGTACTCCCCTGAAGAGTGAGTTCTACCATACCCAGAATCCATGACTACCAGCTGATGAGCATAGGTCAAGGGACAAGATCTTGTCAATCAAGGATCGTGTCTTCGGTTCTGACACACTAAAGCTCGATCGGCCACTCCTCCTTGTACGCCTGATACTGCGTACTTACCTCGGAGAGAGCCTGCTACAAGACTGTAAAGAATTTTGGAAGCGCTTCTCGCGGATACCCAGCTGTTTTACCGACCTTCGTCGTGCTGTCGAGAAGATGAGCGACAAAGAGAGGACGGACTTCCTTACGCACATCGAAGAAGACATGACCATCACCAAACCGAGTGCCGAGGAACCTCAGTCCAAGCTTGAGGACTGGGCGCGTGCCGAGATTTGTGTATTGAAGTTCACATACCTGGTCACCGTCTCTCTGTCGGCATCAAACACCCTCACAGAAGTATTGGAAGCACTGATCGAAAGGACATCGAAGGTTAGCCAGATGCTGCCAAATGATCCCGATCCGATCATGTTGATAGCTTACTGCCTCACCAACATGCATCATGGGGGCTCGAGTTCGAGCGATACCTCAAGCCAGTCCTCTCGCATTCTTCTGCAAGCTGCCATGCTAGTACGTGCCGCTGTAGAGCGAGACACAGAGAAGGAGAACCGCCCTCTGGCTTTACTAGCTGCTCGTCTGCACCTCAACCTTGGCTTAGGAAGAGTTGCATTTCAACTATGGAAGCACGTCAAGGTGAAGGAGATGCTTGTAGACACCCTGTCGCCGTACCTCCTCTCACGCATAGCGGAAACACATCCATTCGACGTCAAACATCATCAGGGATTCTCCGCGGACAGGGAGCTGAAGCACGTCGTCGACACCATTGACAGGATGAGCAAGGTGCAAGAAGGCTTGATCTTCAGGGACATCAAGCGCTTCCACTGGGATTCTGCAATGGACTTGATCTCTATGAACGAGAAGTTGACAACTTCGCTGACAAGACATACGTCCGTCCTCGAGCGCCGTCGCATCGCTCGTCTTAGAGGAGAGCCAGCGGGCGATCTACCTGACGTCAAATATAGGGGTAAGTGCGCCGTAGCCCTCACGAGTACTGGAGCTAATCAGCACATCAGATACCCAAATTCTTTCCGACAACATCGACCGGTCTGTTTTCCCAGCTTACGAACACTCGAGCGTCCACCGACCCTACCCAATTCTCATGCCCGCCGACATCCCATCTGCAGACTACGTCCTCACGCAGGGCCACGAGCGTGAATCCGTCTGCAAGATCCTGTACCGCGACGGCCTACCCACGAACTGGGTCCCCACCGCAGCGCCAGAAACCACCTCCAACCAAACCCCAGCCGAGCGCCTAGCCCACGAAAAATTCTGGCACCCCATCTCCACCCTGCTCTACGCGGCGCTCCACCCGGACACCAAGGTCGACGCAAACAGCTTCACCACCCTGACGGCGAATCTCAAGCAGCTCCGCGAAGAGCAGGAGAAGCTGATCGCGCCCTCGTCGAGCAGCAAAGACCCGGCAGACGAACCACCTATGATCCACGAAAACATGCTGATGAGCAGCTACTCAGCCCTCGAAGTCCTGCGCGCGCTGCCCCGCCTCGCAAACGAGCTGAAGGAGCGCGTGGCGCAGAGCAAAACACCGCACCCGCTGAAATCCCAAATGCCCAAGGACTGGGCCAAGCAGCTGGACGCCGAGGTGAAGAGCGCATTTGACGCGGTGGGCCGGGTGGCGGAATCTTACATTGCGCAGCTGCAGACGAGGGGTGTGGGCGCTATCAAGGCACAGGTGCGTTGGGGGGCTACGGGCGCGGCGTTGGAGTCGCTGATCAGTGAGGGGGATGTGGAGCACTATGCGCGCGAGTACGTGGATAGCGCTGTTGAGGCGTGGAAGGGGGTGTTGCTGGTGAAGCTGAAGTAGGGGCGTGCAGAGGAGGTATATCGTTGGACGAGCATCGATAGAAGAAGCGTGAATTCAGAAACCATGTACACATACACATTCTGTTTTTTTTGTTTTTTTTTTCTTTTAAAGAAAACAACAACTAAACAGTCAAGCTGAACCAACTACATCCCTTTCCCTCCCCTACTCTCCCTAGTTTTCCATTACCACTTCTTTCTCCCTCTCCCAGCTATGCCCCTCCTCCATTCCCCTCTCCCGTTAAAAAAGAACGCCCCTACAAAAAAGTAAAATTAAAAAGCAAAAAAACTGACCCGAAGGCGATTTGAACGCCTAACCTTCAGGTATAACCACAAAGTCTCGACACTTTAACATATCGGACTGATCTGGAATCTGACGCGCTACCGTTGCGCCATCGGGCCTTGTGTGGCTGAGCATAAAAAAGATGGTAGATTAAGGTGATTATATATTGAGTTGTGGTTGGAGGG